TTAGCATCAAATCAAGCTTAGACTTTCAACTGCAGAGCAAAATTTTTTGTTTGACTTTCATCAAGTCCGCCTAAAGTTTCACGAGAATAAGAACAATCAAGATGATACAGCTGTCTCTTTAATCCTATCTCAAATTTATAGCCTTGAGGGCACAGGCAGCCTGCGTGAACATCCATCAGCTCACTCAAAACTAGCAAGACCCAAAAAGAGCAGCGGAACTCCAGCACAGGCCACAATACCTACGTGCAGTTTTGACAAGACAATGCTGAACTCCCTCCAATTACGGCTAAATTACTGCTTAGTAACTTAGGATTTTTTCCAAAAGCTTTCTTCCCCCTGATTTTTTTTTTTTTTCACTGCAGTGACGCTGCACAGTACCAGGAATGTTTTCAGAATTCCTAGTCCTGCAGGAAAAAGTGACCATATAGCTAAAACATCCACCCACTCTATTGATATTTTTCACCAAACAATCCAAAATAGTCAAATCCTTCAAGCCTCCTCTCCATCGCAGCCCCCCAAAAAGGAACTTCTTCCCTTTTTTTAATATTATTTTATTTTTTTAAACAGGAAACTGATGGAAAAAATTAGCTTCAAGTTTCAGCTTAAAATGGTTGTCCTCCCCCAGGTTTCAACTATGGGCCAGTGTGGTCTTGAAAATATCTGCCCATCACTGTTTTACAAAATTCTGGGATATGTTACTATTAAAAAGCTAATTTGTAGTAACTGCTTTTCTGGAATATAACTTCCCTCTCGGGGCATTTTTCAGTCTCCTGTCAGCCAGATTTGTGACTCCAGGCTTGAAACAGCAAGCTTCCATTTTCAAGATGAGAAAATACCAGAATGATAAGAAACAGAAAAGTTAAACCATTTCAGACCTGCTTGCAGCAGAGTGCGAGATGCTTGTCTAAAATTGTATGACTTTATCTTTTACAGGTCATTTAAGCTGGTAAAAGCCATGACAAAAAGGAAACATTTTTTTCTACTTCAGGCACTCTATCAAACAGCAGTGGTACCGTTGTTCTTAGGAAAAAAAGGAATCAAAGCAATGGGTCACCAAGCCCTATTCTTTTATTGACTAAATTTATCGTGCTAAAATTTGTTCCTGTGAGAGTCACAATCTCCTTAGCCTATTTTTACATTTTGCTTCTCTTTTAGATCCACCTCCTCAACGCAGAGGTAGCTCCACATGCTGTTCTCACCAGTTCAGTAACATCCTGCTCGTGATGAGAGTTCCCAATTCCTCGTCGTTGGATGTTACGCACATATGTGGCTGATTCAGATACAATAAGAAACTATTTCTGTGCAAAAAACTAGATCAGTTTATCACTTGACAGGATGGACAGAGCACAGTCCTCAACAATTCTTACAGAAGTTGTTCTAGTTTTCCTCTCCCCATCCTCAAGAGAAATCCAACTACACTTGGACTTTGTTGCTCTCATTGGCCTCACTAGTGATATCCAATTTTTAACCCGAAAATATATAACAGGTTTCTGAACTCTTAAGCATAAAAGTTCTAGATTTTTGTTGCTTCCTCCATGTGTTTCTTGTATTTTTCTGCTTTGTAGGATCTCTTCTACTCCTGGGTACACTCGGTAACTATTTTTAGACCTCTGTAAAATTCCTCTACCTGTAACACCCACAGTTTTTGATTCAAATTTTTGTTTTCTTAAACATAAGAGTTAATCATTAAAGCATACACAAATTGGGGAAGTATTAAATCATTCTACTGCTGTTTTCTTCCTTATATTTTCATTTCACTTCCCTGCTTTGTGACTTTTTTTTTTGTTTTAAATGAGTTTTCCAGACACACACAATCTCACTCCTGTCGCCTCACTTTCTTACAGTAAAATACAAGATTTTACCAATTCTTTTATATCATATATAGTGGAAATCCTCAAGTCAGAAGATTAGAACAAATCAGGGCCCATCATAGATGCTACCATGTTAAGTTTACTGGCCACAGTGTAGAACAGTCCCATGGAGATACGTTAGGAGAAAGGGGGCAACCAGAACCTAAATTCTCTGCCAGGGAAAGCCATGCAATAGCAAGTTGGGGTCATGAGCCTCTTCTCCTACGGCCTAGAAAGGAGTATACCAAGAGAAGAGGATTCACAGCAGCACCAAAGTTACAGTGAACATGAACCATCAAAGCATTTTTTGTGACTGTTTTTGGTAAATAAGTTTTCAAAACCACCGAAGGAAAGTCCACACAATCCTACAACCTCCAACCATAACCAACGCCTGTTTTCCTGCTGCAACAGAACAGCAACCCCAGAATGACACAACCAAACTGTAAGGAAAACAGTACTTAGAGAGTTAATACAATCTGACAGTTCCTTAAAGTACCATTTAATTACTGCATTAAAAAGCAATCACCAATTCCTAGGCAAGCAAACCATCAATAGACAGCTGCTTATTTATATTTGAAAAATGTCTGTTCATAGGAGAATGTCTGTCTTGCATACCTGACAACTAAAAAATTACTGGATTATTTAAAAAAATACTGGATATTGCAAATAGTTTACAAGCCAGTCCTTTAACAACAGTGCCTTCATGTGTTTATTATAGGCATTTTCTTATTTTAAAGCTAAGATTCAACTACATTGTATAGTTGTAATTCTGTCCTCCTGCACATTCACAAGCAAATTAGGTCAATTCCAAACTATTTGTAATACCTCTTCCATAGAAAGGAGTTTGAGATTTTAAAACATATGAAGTTTAAAACAAAGTCAACTTACCAGTATCCTAAACCTTCTGAACTGTCAATTTTTTGTTCTAGCCTAATAAGGCATCCTAAAGCAGTAAGAACCAAAATGTGAGAATGACTGTCCTTGGCCAGAGGTTGCATCCATAGCGTGTTTTATCACCCTTTTACGATGTTTATTACATAAGTTTCCCTAATTAAATTCTAAACTTAGTTCTACATATGGTATCTGTAACATCCTGTGGCAGAGAGTTCCACTATGTATTCATGTGGTGCATGGAAAAATGTCCATTTTAAACCTACTGCTGGGCAAGAGCTAGGAGTCATCAAAACTGTGTTATAAGAAACCATGAATAATCATGCTCTCCGTAACATTAGTAGCTGTATATACCTCTTGCATTTCTTCTGATCTTTTTTATTTTCCAAGCTGCAGAGTCCTAACCATCCTGTTCAAATACAGGTATCTCTCTCCCCATATAAAACCTGGTTTATCCTTACTAAAAGAAAGGGCATCTGCAATTGTTCATACTATTCCAGATTGGTCATGGATGTCATCATGATGTTTGTACAGAACAGTAATGCAACTTCAAGACCTCTTTTTTGAGTCATAAGAACTTAGACTGCCATGCATGTTGGTTAGCCAGACCTCTCCTGTAAGCATTACTGTATAATCTTGTATAGTTAATGCACTTGCCATTTTATTAATTTGTTATCTTGTATTATCTTCCCACAGATGTTCATGTTCACAGATTTGGGGGTCTTAATATCCTGGTGTATGAGTACAAGCTGGTATTTTGCTATTTAGCCCCTTTCACAGACTTATTAAAGCAGCAAAGATCTCCACACAGATCCTTGCAGGAGTCTATTCTCGGCTTGCAATAACTTCTCTTTTATTCTTATCCTTTTTTTTTTTTTCCCCATCTTAAAGAAGTTATTACCATGAGAGGACTTCTCTCTTACTTTTGCAACCATCTGGTTTCTTCAAGAAATTGTGGCAGCAGCTGTGATGGACTAGGATGGTTAGTTCATATGGCATGTACAGTTCTAACATGCCCACGAACTCACATCCAACCGAACTGCAAGCTATGCTCTGTCTACAATAATCATGTTGGCTCTTCTTTATTAATTTATATTCTCCATGTACATGTTCATTTTCATATTAATAAACACACATCTTCTCATTTGCTTCTATGACAGTTTTAATTAATTTTGATAAGGACAGAAATAAAACTTCCTGGGCCGCAGTTTCACGCAGATTATGCTACACTTCCAAATCCAGTGATTATGTATTCGAATTACTCCAGACCTGTTGGGTGTACCCTGATTAGCCCAGGCAATTTGTTACTATTCATTTTAATCAGCTTGTTCTAAAAGCTCTTCCTCTAACACTTGAATTTGAAACAGACCATCTGAGACATCTTAAGTAAGGTCCAGTGCAGGAAGCTTCATATACCCTCCATAATTAACACAAATGTAAAAGGAGTCTTTGTAAGATATGCTGCTAAAGATTTATCTTCTGCTTATGTTCTCACAATGTCTTGATCCTTACTGGGCCTGGAGACCATTAGGTCTTTTGCTTCTGATGTGGCTGAAGAATTTCTCAAAGCTCTTTCTGTGCCTGTCTTCTGATTTTTATGCATAACTTGCCAGTTATGCATTCTTCTGTTTCCCGCATTTGGTTACAATTCCTACTTTATAAAATCTTTCTTTACCTGTTGCAGATATCCCTCCTTTGCAGTTTTAACAATACTGAGTTTGAGTTCTTTCCACCCTTGTGAGCTGACAGCTTATCAGAGAACCCAATATATTGTTCTTCATTTCTACATTTACCGAGTCTTCACACATGTAACAGAACCATGTAATAACAGGAAATGCTTCTTCCCTCAGCATCTTCTCTCCTTTAGCACTTCACAGTAATTTTCCATCTTGTTTACATAGTCAATGATCTAACCCTCACCATATTTTGATCTATTTGCATGCAAATACAAACCGTAAGTGTACTTTCTTACCTAAACACACATAGCTTTGGCTGTAAACCTTAACATATAATAGCGCATCTCCCAGAGTACAGTTTGCATTCTCTTCTCCATATAAATGTTTGCTCTTGTACTAACATCATCTTATACCAATTTTGAGACGTCAAATATGTCAATATCTGGATTTCAAACAAACATTCCAGGTCTCACACTCAATTTTTCACATGTCAGATTTTGTCCAGAAGCCCATCTACAACCGCTACTGGTTCAATTGTCTTTTTCTTATATTTTATAAAGAGAAGCAAGCAGTAAATACATACATGACGGTGTTAATCCCTGACAGTTGTTGAAACATCTGCAGACCACAACCCACAATTAAGGCTCTTCGAGTTGGAGGGTATGTTAGCATTCTGCAGATCACAGGTCCAGCTTAAAAAAAAAAAACAACAACAACAAAAAAATACATAATAGTTCTTAAGTGATCACTATCAAGACAACGTTCTCAGGCATAACAGGCTTTGCACCTTAGTTTCAAACAAACCTGGACTATTTCAATCATTTTTTAACAACTTGATCATTTCAGTTCTGCTTTTCTGCACTGTACTACAAAGATGATTTTCGGGAAGCCCAGGCAAAAAAAAAAGAGGAACTATTTTTGTACACTGTGTATACTACTGATGGCAAATGTACAGCTCTCTTATAACATACTAACAGATTGCACATCCACTGCAACTGAATGTACTCAAAGTTATCACCAAATATCATTGTTGTTTCCTTTCTAAAAGCTCCTGTTGTTATTGAGAGGTTATTTCAGAAATGTCATTACTCACTGCTCAGATCTGGATCTTGCCGGGTTAAAGTGTTCTCCCTAGTCCCCCAAAGATGTAATTTCCACAAACCAGTTGCAAGTGTGCGTACTCTGAAGGTATGGGATAGATTTATTCTACACAGCTGTAAGGCCAGCAGAGGGAGCATAAATTAATTGAATTTTTTTCCATACCTTTGGTAGCAATGGTATGAGGCTGCACTCAAAAAGCAGAAAACAGTTTCTCAATGAAGAGAAAAACAAAAATTTCTGGCACACAGAGAAAGTTTTCTTCTCTGTTAATTTTAAAATTTCAAAGTATCCTATTAAAATAATATAGAAAGCTACGTGATATCAGGCAAAAATTTAAAATACTTGACTCCATTATTTACCTGAATTTCTTTCTGTCCAGAGTGGTGTTTAGGGCAGAACACAGTCTGGTGAAAAATTCTACGTTTTATATATCTTACCACTTCTGGTATACCCACTCAAAACACCTAATATAAATCACAATATGCCTAAGTCAAAACATTTGCCATCAAAAAAAAAAAAAGTAGATGAAGAGGATATACATTTTCACATTTTCAAAGTCTTTCTTGAACATACAGAAAATACTAAACGTATTCATTCAGTATAAAAACCTATATGGGTTTGTTAGTGAAGAACGATTTACATGCAAAGAGTTTCATCGTCAGAAAGCTGACAATCTGTGAACAGTTTCAAAAGCGGAACTCAAGAAGACAGTTTAGATAACATTTTCTTCATCGAAAGATTACCAGACCTGCCTAAGAAAAACTGTTTTTTCATTAAAAAACTACAGTATTTCTAACAGTATCATTGCTTAGCTTTGCTTCTTTATTAACAGCAGAATGCTGTCTGATAAATTTTCCAGCGGTTTCCAGGTAACATTAATACTCAGACAGTACACAGTCCCTGCCATACAGCCACACCACTACCTTCAAAACATCTCTCTCTGAGTAAAATGAACTGACAGATAAATAGAGTCAATCTATATATTTGGTAAGACATTCTCAAGTAAGACACATGACATCACAGGGCAGACATATCAAAGGGTTCAGTAGCCAGAGTGGCATTTCCTCGGTCCAAAAACAACACAATCAGCACTCGCTGTTAGCCAGGAGCCATCTGGAGCTCAGACACACTCTTGGACTCCTCCTCGACTCCAAGCCTCACAAAGAAAAAAGATTTACTAACAAATGCAACCACGAATCTTAATTCACAAACAGCAGCCCTCAGGTTTTCATACTTGGCATCACACCTAAGCATGTAGGCTTTGGGCTTAAAAACCTTTATCTGACAACTAATTCTGCAGCATCTGTCATGAACCCAGGCTGCTGAATGCCTACGAGACATCTTCCATTGTTCATAAACTTCCTATGAAGTTGCTAAATGAGTTCAAAATCCATCTTTATCTTCAAAGGACCTTACAGACAACCTAAATCTTGAAGTCCACCACCAATAACTGTGCTCACTGAGTAAGCTGGAACTCTACAGCAGAGCCTGTTAGGAAAGGAAGTAGAAATGCCCCAAGGAACTGATGCAAAGTTTTTCACAATTCCTGATCCAATCAGCTATCTGATGAAAGTTATATAAAACTCTATTCACACTATGGCATTGTACAGAACAATTGGAAAGAAGGCATTAAAATGAACAGCTAAAAATTAAAGCAGCTGTTCCCAGACAATGGCTCGCAACTCAGAGGGAGTCATGAACTCTCATCAAAACTTCACCACACAAAACAGCCTGAAGTGGGGCCCTGCAGAAAGTTTAAGACCACGTAGTAAAGTCTAGACTTTTACTTCAGTTTTTTAGACTTCAGACCTTTAGAGCATCCAGTCAGCTAAATTCAGTAGCTACCTGTAATTTTTCAGAGTTCTGATTAATTGTATCAGAAAAACGATGCTAAAAATCATCATAGCGGTTCAAGTCAGAGATTTAAGAGTTTCACTCCAAATCTGTACCATGGCAACTGCACATATCAATAGGCATACACAAAATTAAAGGATTTTCTTTCATAAATTCACAGCCTTCAGGTTTACAAACCAATAAGTGGAATGAAAGAAATAAAAGAAATCGTTAATCTCTATATTAAAGGAGCTTTACAAACTCCACTAAAAAACCCAAAGGACTTTGACTGTGAGGTGGCTATTTTCAAAAGAGAAAACAAGTGTGAAACTTTTTATTAGAAGTATCTAGCCCTAAAACTAACTATACTATTTTTTCCATTTTCCCATCTTCAGTTCTGCCATTCATCTTCTGTTGTGTTCCTCTATTACAGCCTTAAAAGAAAACAACTCTAGGCAAAATGTTGTTAACAACAGAGAATGGGTCTAAACTAAAAAATGAAAAACAAAACAAATTATCAGAATTAAATACATTTTTCTTCTGAAAATAGGTCTTCTGAAAACTTCAATTCTACTTCAGGAGTTTCTGATAACCATTAAATCTGCTGTTAGTTATTACAATAGATTAAAACAGCACAAACCAATAAAATAATTAAATCTTTAAAAAGTGGAGCAACTTAGTCACAGAACTAGAGGGAAACAGATAATGCAAAGGATACATCACAAAAAAAAAAACATTTGGCAATTTTTACAATGAAAAAAATAGACAGTGGTCTCCAAAAGCGAATCTTTTTTGTTTATGATATTTCTGCATTAATTTCTGTTGTTTTCTCTTCAGCTGGGAGATTTAGAAACATTCCTGCATTTGAACTTGAGAAACCACCGAGATGTTTGCTTTCCTCCTTCTAATCTATGAATAAAAATGAAGTCAAAAGGATGAGACCTCCTAAGGTCATCATTAATTTAATGACACTAGACTTGGTTAGACTTTTTGTGCTGTAAATTTCCTTATTGCGTATGTTTACAAGGGTTCAAAATATGCTACAGTAAAGGGCAGCTGAAGCTTACTTTAGTGAGAGTGCAAAATGGCAGCAACAGGCAAAGAGCAATGGAAAAATAAGCATACTGCTGTTGTAGAAGGTGACATTACATGAAGTAGTGACACATGAAATGGATTGCTGTGGTTTAACTGGCTTTTTCTTGATCTGGTCTAACTGTCTACCTAATGAGACCTTTATCCTTATAAACAAAATGCAAAACTAGAATTTGGAAGTTTGGCTTCATATCCAAAAAAAACCTTCTTAGCTTACGCTGAGCTAAACACAGGGGGAGGAGCTGTTCTTGTCAAATCATTACTTCTGGAAAGCCAGTCATGCTTTCCAAATGTTACATTTTATGAGTGGTTATCTGAAACTTTTAATGCCAGCTTCCCATATTTTAGCTGCTGTTCCTGCTGCTAGGCATAACCCACAAGTAAGTTAGGTTTAGAAATCACCTAGTAAGGCATTTTGACTTTCCTCTGTAGGTAAAATGTGTTGTATGGCCATCACAGGAGCTTGGATGTGATCCAATGCCAACTAAAAGATATAGAGACTTTTCAAAGACAACAAAATAAACAAATGCTAGTTCTAAAAGGAGTTTAAATAACGAAAGCTGAAAAGCAGAAGAATGGGTACTAATGATGTCTCTGCATCTCCTTCTGAAAATGCACTGCATACACTTTGGGGGAAACAAAAATATTGTAGATAGACATAAAGCCAACCTAAAAATCCCCCAGCAAATGCAGGCAGACATCTGGTGCCTGGAAACCTTGTGATCCCCATCCCTCAAATTATTAGTACAATACTTGGCAAAATATCACAGCCAGGCAACTATGGTTAGAGACTGGGCTCTGCCAAAGTCATTTTCAGGTTCAAACATTTTTTTGCCAGCTCATCTAGGTGACAGCTTGTAGCAACAGCTTAAAAGTACGGAGGGCTCTTGCCAGCATTTTGTGCTCTTGCTGTAGAGGAGTGTTTCCAGGAAAGCAGGCTTAGCCAAGCAATGAGACATTCACTCATCAGTTTAGCATCAATTAAGCTAAACCTTCCCGATTACTTTCTCGGACCTGTTCTTGTCCTAATGCCAGTCAACCCCTTCTCTTCCACCCAGATAGATCTTCAAAGAATACATGTACAGACAGAAATGGAACAAAAAAAACCAAGAAACTTCAGGCTGGTGATCTGGATAACTGAAGGCAGACATAGGAACCATTTCTCTGTTTTGCCTTCCTTACGAAATGACAGCTTCCAGCCCAGCTTTTTCTGCATCATCTGCAGAACATTCCTCCACCAAAGCCCTCAGAGCCAACTATTATTTTCTGCATATGAATGACATACTAAAGTAAACACCCTTTCCCTCTCTTAGTCTATTACATGCTTATTTTCTAAAAGTATCAACTTCATTCATGGTCACAACACTTTTCTGTAAAATTTATCAAATCACAGGAAAATAGAAGTAGCTTTAAGACCAAAACCTTCTGCCTCATATAGTTCTCTAATCCTTTGAGATAGCTCAAAAGGTTGTTTGCTTGATTCTTTTTTTTTTTAATTATATAACTTCCCATCAGCCAAGAATGAGAAAAGACTGTCAAGCTTGCCTAGTAACTGGGTCTTAGTATTTCTCAGTTTTCCACAGTAAATATATCCAATGGTATAACAAGCCAGCCTGCTCTAAAAGCAAATCAAAGCTAATTAGACATAACAATTTTGGTTCTAGAG